ATGATTGTATATATACATGATTGTATATAAGAAATGTATATCTGTATAATAATTGTAATTATTTAATAATTAATTATTGCAATTAATTTTAATAGATACAATACCACAAACTAAATGACAGTATATCCACAGCAAAATGCTAGAACCCAATTGACCTTCAGGAGTTAAATATAATGCAAAGTAAATTTTAGCACATATCATTTAACAAGTTTACTGCTAGGAAAACGAGTTCACATCCGACAGGGCTTTTTTAGGGAGCGAGTTCATGTCCACGTGTCCAAACATAGCACTATTTCATTGCACGCAAACCTGCTTGTAGTAGTCGCTAGTTTCAGGGAACCTGGAAGTAATGATCAAAAAATAAATACCTTATGTTTGTGTTTCAATACAGTTGATTGGAATAATTTTCATTCTGGTGGCACCCTAATTTTTATCCCGTTAGTGTATGGGATGAAACTAGAAAAAAAAGGCTTGGCAGTCAATGTGTTAATAAACAAAGTCAACAAATTAGAACTCATACCCACTTGACTCTAGCTGTGTATAATCTATTTGAGAAAGTGGTATACAATTTCTGATTCAGAAGTGATAAAATTTTATGCAAGATAATGTTGCAGTTATATTTTTGCATTCGGAGAAAATAAAGATTACTTTAATGAAAGTGTGATTTCGCAACCTTACAAAAAACATAACAAATACGAATATACATCATCTTAATTATGTCATTCATGCATAAAACATTAATTCTTGACCATAACCGCCTGAATATGATTGTTGATTCATGAAAAAAAGGCATGGACCAGTTGTGACTGATATGCTTTCGTAGGAGATGGAGCGACTAAAATTTGATGACGAAATCGTATATTAGTTATCATTTTCGTAAGCTGGCAAAACCTACCTATTATCGTCTTGCTGGTACCAAGACACATAAATAGGTGTTTATAGCATTCGTAATACCTATTTATTACCAATTTTTTTTTACGACCTATCAATGGTCCCTTTATTATTCAGCTAAACCAAAGGTTAACACATAATATTCTAAGAAAACAGCAATGAAACATAGAATTTAGTTGAAGTTGAACACCTACTAAATATCGTACTTACTATAAAAAGAGTTAGTCGTCATACCGATAAACTGAGGCTGCCTTTGAGACCAACTCATCACTAATGTTATTGTTGATCACATGACCAAGGTAAGAAAAGGACAATCATATCATATTTGCATAGATGGTGAAAAAACCATGGCTCAACCTCTACAGTGACCCTTGCAGAGATGTCATAAGGACTATAAACCGTAGGCCCAGTTTACACATTTGGCTCTTGTGCACTATAAAGAACCCAGTACATCTTTTGAGACGAGTAGGGGGTTACCCCAGTGTAGTGGTCCATCTCACAGCCCCTACCACTGTGGTCTAGACAGTGCACCTTCTTGGCCTATGCATGACACGACAGGACCCTTGGGGGAGAAGTAAGTTGTAGGAATGAGTAGTCCACATCCGTCGAGCCTGAAGCACTGTGAAGTTGGCCCTCACCCGGAAGAAGATATCTGGCCTAAACTGTTCAAATACATTTCAAAGCAGAAGATAATATCCATAATATATAATACTGTATACATGTACTATACAAGTCACGCAATTAAAATGATGCAAAAAAAATAATGGTTGGTGAACTTTCAGTAATATTAAATTGATGTACAATGGTTGAAGATTTTGCTTATTCTTATGCACAAAAACACAATCTATTTTTGGATGCGGCAACCTTAAAGTCATAGCTACAAGAAAATCAACTTGCGGTAACCTTGAAATTTGCAAAGCGAATGCCTTAAGGAAACATTGGAAAATGTGATTATTAAAAATGTGTTGCTTTGGTATTGACCAGATAATTGAGTGCGACTCAGGTTTTCATGGAAATCGTGGTTGGTGGAGTCGCAGCGACTGCACCAACCACGATTTCCATGTAACAAAAGCATATTTTAAAAAATAATGAACGGGAAAACAGACTCATATTTTTAAATTACTGTACTTAACACGTTCACTGCCAGACCTTAAGGTTTTCTTTCCCGTGTGCCGCAATAGGTATACATGTAAAAACATACTTTATAAAATCCTATCTAGTCATATATTATCAAAATGGTGTGTCTAATAAGTTGGCAGGAAAATATTAAGGGAGGATTAAACTCATTGCCAGCATTTTTTATTGTCAATGCAAGTGTGAGTTTTCTCGTCTGCTTTTTTCATGGGTAGATACTGTACATGTACAGCGGGCGCCCCACTTGTGCAATTGAGTGTACTGCCAGCAAGATAACACAACAAACATACACACGTTATATGCACGTTATCATAATGGTTACGAATTTATACAGTAGTATTTTTCATTTGGGAAACAATTTGCTTTTTTCTCCATGTCCTCCACTGGTAATTTTTTGATAGGCCCTATCGCTGTGTTCACGGACATATAGAGATTAACATGATAAAATGCCTTCAAATTAGTCTACTAGGACGTAAGAAAGCAAATTTTCCGGGGCTTTGACCACACAGATACAAACGTCACTGAAACGAGTATGCGTTCATCAATATATGTTATTGCCGTCATCCAAATCTTCATACTTGCCATCATGAGCTTGGTTGGAATTTTCGGAAATATGTTAACAATCATTGCGATTCTTTGTACAAATAAATTACAGATTACAGCAAACTATTTCTTAGTGAATCTGGCCATTTCCGACATTATTGTTTGTTTAATTGCCGAGCCGTTCTACATGCTGGCATTGTATCACCGCAAATGGCCGTTGTCCAAAGAATTCTGTGCTGCTGTAGGTGCTATATCAGCCATTTCTATGGGAGCTTCGGTCTTAAATCTCCTGGCAATATCACTAAACCGTTACATTTGTATAGTAAAGAACATGTACTATGCCAAACTATATAGCAATCGACGTACAGTGTTGTACCTGTCTCTTATACACATCTAATGTGATTATTAAAAATGTGTTGCTTTGGTATTGACCAGATAATTGAGTGCGACTCAGGTTTTCATGGAAATCGTGGTTGGTGTAGTCGCAGCGACTGCACCAACCACGATTTCCATGTAACAAAAGCATATTTAAAAAAATAATGAACGGGAAAACAGACTCATATTTTTTAATTACTGTACTTAACACGTTCACTGCAAGACCTTTAGGTTTTCTTTCCCGTGTGCCGCAACAGATATACATGTAAAAACATACTTTATAAAATTCTATCTAGTCATATATTATCAAAATGGTGTGTCTAATAAGTTGGCAGGAAAATATTAAGGGAGGATTAAACTCATTGCCAGCATTTTTTATTGTCAATGCAAGTGTGAGTTTTCTCGTCTGCTTTTTTCATGGGTAGATACACGTACAGCGGGCGCCCCACTTGTGCTATTGAGTGTACTGCCGGCAAGATAACACAACAAACATACATCCGTTATTTGTACGTTATTGTCTAGGTGTATCTTCCCCAAACTACCAGCCATTAAGTCTGTGGTTCTACAATGTATAACAAAGAAGTAATAAACGCAACATCTAACATGTTAAACTGATGTAGGCTAATATGGTAGTGAATTAAAATAAATGGACTTAAAGAGAATGCCTAAATCTGGTACTTAGAAAAATAATGCTAGCCCAATTTTTTATAATAACAAATTTCACCATCTCAAAATGTTCATGAGTATAATACAGTAAATCACTAAACAATAAATTGTATTTAATCCTTTCATTGGAAGTTCAATTAATTTTGATTCTTTTAAACGAGCAAATCGACAATTTCATTGATTGTGCTTCTTTTTACATTTGACTTTTCTCACTATTTCATAGGAATGGCCGACCACACAGATACAAACGTCACTGAAACGAGTATGCGTTCATCAATATATGTTATTGCCGTCATCCAAATCTTCATACTTGCCATCATGAGCTTGGTTGGAATTTTCGGAAATATGTTAACAATCATTGCGATTCTTTGTACAAATAAATTACAGATTACAGCAAACTATTTCTTAGTGAATCTGGCCATTTCCGACATTATTGTTTGTTTAATTGCCGAGCCGTTCTACATGCTGGCATTGTATCACCGCAAATGGCCGTTGTCCAAAGAATTCTGCGCTGCTGTAGGTGCTATATCAGCCATTTCTATGGGAGCTTCGGTCTTAAATCTCCTGGCAATATCAGTAAACCGTTACATTTGTATAGTAAAGAACATGTACTATGCCAAACTATATAGCAATCGACGTACAGTGTTGTACTGTGTAGCCATCTGGATTGCATCTTTAATCTCAGTATCACCAACGATTGCTGGTGTAGGTGAATTTGGATTCAACAAGTATTTTTTAGTTTGTGGATATGCAATGACAGAAGAAACCTGGAAATGTCAAGTTGGTAAAATGGTTGTAATGTTCATTGTCGCTATTTCAACTATTTTCTTCTGCTACTTCAACATCCTAAAAGAAGTGTGCAAGAGTTCATGTCGTAGTAATAGACGTAAAGGCAGCGACACCAGCCAGAGGAAGTTAAGCGGTAACGAGGTAAATACAAAAATGTTCCCAAAACTGCCGAAACAAGTTCACATGCTTAAACAGGCATGGGTAGAACATCGGGACAGAGACTTCCAAGTAGCTAAAACCTCTGCCATTGTGATCCTTGTATTTGTGCTATGCTGGACACCGTCTGTATTACATACCATTATTGATAGAGATTTCTCTGCTCCCACTGGGCTTTTGCAGGTATTTGCTTTTCTGGCGATGGGGAATTCTAGCATCAACCCTTTTATCTATGCCTGGCGAAATCATAATTTCAGGAAAGCATACAAGCGCATAATTACCTGCCAATGCCGGCAGGAAGACTTAGGTACTAGAGAGAATTCTCAATTTTCCCATGATTCAGTGATGCGCACTGAAACCCGAAGGGAATCAGATCAGATACATAACACCAGGATATGATCTTCTAGAGGATGAAATATCTGTCAATGGATGAACACACACTTGGATGAGTAGCCATCTGAATGACAAAACTGGAATAAGTGAAAAAGCCACCTGGATAGTGCAAGACCTACTGGCGTATATGAGGAATAAATATTTTATTTTGGAATAAATACCACAAATGGGCAAAATGATCAGAAGCGTTTCGAGAGTATGTTTTAACTGCTTAATTAACTTGTAACATCCTCTAAACGCATTGGTGTTATCCGCCGTGTTAAATATTTTTTACCACATAATACTCTTAAGATATTGGCTAACGCTTTAGTTATGCCTCTTTTTAATTACTGTAATTGTGTTTGGTCCAACTGTAATATTAAACTTGTTTAAAAAAATGCAGGACAGTAGTCGCAGAACACATTCCACGAGCACCAACAGTGAACATATCAGTAATGTCAACAACGTTGTTGATAAAATTCGCTAGGATCAATGTGATCTAATTCTGAATCCAATGACCAGAGTAAAAAACATTGTGAACATTTCGTGGATATAAGTTATATTAAAACTTATGAAGAATACAAGAACACATTTCTTATACAGACTGCAAGGAATATATAAATTATTTTATTTGCAACCAAGAGTGAAAGAAAATGTTTTTGACTTTTTACTGTATTACTATTCTTTTTGATTATTATACCGTAGTACCGAATTTTGAGTTCTGGAAGCTGGAATGTGTGAATATGGTCTAAGTCTCACTATGAGAGGAGTTTGATTTGAATTCAAGAACAAATATGGACTTTATCTGGACTGGTGGAGAAGTTGACAATATTACCACTAAATTGACAACAGCTAGAAAAATTTTAGATATTTCTTTAACCATAATAAAAAAAAAGTGGTTATAAGCCCGCTCTCTCATAGTGGGAAACCATTTCATGAAAGAAATCATCATTTTCAAACCAAACTATGTCTTATAATATGTAGAAATAGCAAATTTTTAACACTCTATGCTTAATACAAAGCAAATCTTATCCAAATATAAATATTTAATACAGTTGAGCTATTCATTCATATCAGACATTGGGATTTTGAGGAAACACTCATGGTACGCAACAGGATCTGAAGTTTGTTTTGTTTGTTTTCTTATTTTTCTACTGCTTTATTGCATTAGTTAAGTTAGCTCACTTTGAATGGGTTTGGTTCTATGCAAGCTTTACTCCGGGGGGATGTTTTTGACTTATTGTTGAGAGTGGCTTACATCGCTTCGTAACTGAAAAAAAAAGGGGCTATACAAGTAACAAGTAGGGTGGGTTAACTAGAGACTCCGGTATATTCAGAATTTATAAATTAAAAACCGGACATAATACTTCGTAAAATTTTATGTTTCTGTGACAGGCAGATAATATTATAGTACTAAGAAATTTATGGATGATATAGTTTTTAAGTATCAGTGATTCATTTACTGATGTATGCCTCATACATTTATAACATCTATTGCTTTTTAATCTGAAAGTAGCATACATATTGGAGCTAGTTTGGTGATTGAAATGAGTGTCTTCTAAAGCAGGGGCTCACTGCGGCTACGGTAGTAGGCCGACATGATTGTACGAAAAACGCAATGGCAAGACACGTGCGTAGCGGATCGTTTTGAAAGACCATCCCTTCAGACTACCTCCGACAATCAGGAGACGGCATCGCGCCGTCTAGCGCTCACAGAGAGCGAAGTTGGAATCTTCATACAATCATACGACCGTCCTATGATACAACGAGTGTGCTCTTAACCCCACGATCCTGGTTGAAATCTCCCTCCAATGAAAGGCCCCTCCAATTAAGGACCACCTTCAATTAAAGTCCACTATTCTGTGTTCCCAAATTTTTTATTAATTTCTTTTATTTTTATTATTCTAATTGGAGACCAAAGCTGCTAAAGACCATGGACACCCCAGTCCCAAAAGTGGTCTTTAATTGGAGGGAAACCTGCATTACTGGTGTTTGCTTCAATGGCATACATAACTTCAATAATTGCTATAAAAAAAATTAATATAGTAGCGGATATTTGTAACTTCGTAGTCAAGATGGTTGCCTTACATTCCCAGGTTGCCAGGATCAAATCATGTCAAAATCCATGATTAACTGTACTCGTTAAATATAACATCTCCACTCGCTAGCCATCGAGATAATTAGACTTAGCTTATGAAGCATACAGGCCCTATGGGAGGGTAGTGGTTCATACTAAACAAGTTCCCAGTAATAAATATTTCTTCAAACAGCTGAATTATTCTAGTTAATGCATTTAAAAAAAAAGTAATGTACATTTTGTTTGTCTATAATCTGTGTAAATTGCATTGTTTTGTTTCTAATTTCACAATTAAACTTAAATAACAAACTGTAAATTTTTACGAGTTGGAATATATTTTATTATTTTGGAATCTTTTTTTTGTTATTCATTAATAATCACAGGTAAAACTAAGCATGGAACACACTAATGGAGTTCATTATACTTTTATCATCACAGTATGGGTAAGAATTGCTAGTATCATTAGGTCTAATACCAGTATTACCTATGCCAAGGAGGATGTACTCACCGCTACCTGTTTGTCTGTTATTATGGAAAAATCACGAAATGGATCATCATAACATTTTGTGGAATGGTATATAATGATCTAAGAAAAAAATGATTAACTTTTGGCAAGAAAAGATCAAAGAACAAGGTCAAAGGCACAGAAATTTTATTTTATTTTTAACCCCGTTGGACTTACCCTCGAGAATAAAAACAAATAATGGAATTGAAATAGACACCTGTGTACTGCTGGGTATTCATGCTCTAGTAAATAATGTTCTAAAGTTTGCATACCATATATGGTATTATTATATTGTAAACAACCTGAGAATCATTGTTTATGTAGACATATTGGCAAAAATCGGTCATCAGTTGTAGGCATAATTCAATCATGCAAAGTACATGTTACAATTCCTAATTATCTGAGTTCTACCTGTGAGGGCAGTAGACAAGTATTGCTGAATATTAAATATTGAATAATTAAATAATAATTTAATCAAGAAACGGTTTACCATAATCCGATTTCCATCCAACCAAAAACAATTAGTAGGCTGACCATAGTACATCCAGCAAAACGTATGGCAACACTTTCGAAACAATTCCTACTTTATTGGCATCCTTTATATTTTGTTCATATTGGAAGTGTAGCAGACACCAGAATTGGTAAGGTTTACTTCATTTTGAATG